AACACAAATCGAAAACATTTCTGCTTCCATTTTACTTGCTCTATTTCTGAAAAAGGAAGCAAAATAAATGTTTTCCACTAAACTGAATTTTCATCTGAAATGCAAGGGGGCCGGGGTGGTTACCATGGTTAACACTGATTGTAGTGTGCAAGAGTTGATTTACTAAAGGCAAAGAGACTGTTCACTTAGCAAAGTGAATTTTTTGGCACGATTCAAAAAGAACAGCTTTACTTTATTTACTGAACTAGTTGAACATTCGCTTTAAGTGCGCAGCCTCTACTCCTTCAGAAAGTCAAACATATTGTGTTTTATGTATTTTTCACAGGTATTTATAGCGTGCTGACAATTTTTGCAGCACTTTCCATACTGCACATTCACATCCCTCAAGGAGCTTACATCTCACATGTATACATACAATGGCCAATAGACAGGAGCCTATTAACTTTCCAGCATGTCTTTGGAGTGTGTGAGGAAAGCCGAGTACAGGGAGAACATGCAAACTTCTTGCAGATGGTGACCTGGCCAGGATTTGAACCAGAGACCCCCAGTGCTGCAAGGCAGAAGCCCTAACCGCTACACCACTGTGTTGTTACCAGATGTTTAATACATGCAGAGGCACAAAAAGCTGGAATTACTGTGCCCTCGGGGCTGACGTGTTTTTATGCATATTGCATTTCAGGCAAGTGTTTAAGTGAAAGTTATAGTCAGTGGCTCATTACAAATCTTTTACAGAATGGGCCTAAAGAACATTTCCTAAATGCAAGAATACATCCACACACATAGGTTGTCCTTGAATAACAATGTTGGCAACCTTCCCAGTGATACTGAACTCATTTTACAACAATTATTCAAGTCTAATTATATTTTCTCCCAGGGTAACTATTTGTAGTTTGCTCACCATCGAATACTACGGCAGTTTGAGCAATCGAGTTGTCACTTATGTTGTTGCCGATAAGAACAAGTGTCAAGGAAATGCCACAATTATACACTAAATGAATGTACTAGTCAATCTATACTGGAGTATCACCGAAATAGACAAGAGAATTCCGCTAACCTCAGACCTGGGAGACGCACACCATCACAAGTCCAACAAAAGATTTTAGCAGTTAAAAGGTAAAGGCTCCTTTATTCTCGTGAACGGCTTTACCAAAGAAAACAAAGTCTGTATTTCTGCAAGCACAGACCGCAAAAGTTTAAATAGAAAGAACTGTTCTTGAGCAAGAAATGGAAGCATAGAGGACACCTAGTGGCAGCTGATGTCAATCTGCTGACTGCAAATACTATATAGTACAGAAAACAAAGAAAGGCATACAGGAGGAAAAAAAAGAAAGATCTAAGACAAGAGAAGAAAGAAAGACTAGGTTTTAAAAATACATTACACACAAGTATATATCATAATATGATTGCATTACAATTCCAAGCAATGCACCGGGTATACACCCTTTATTTACAACAAAAGCAGCAAACCTTTTTTTTAACACAAGGGCAGATAACAGTAAGAAGCCAACCATTCACCGAAAACCTTACCAGAAAAAAAAAAAAAAAAAAAAAAAAAAAAAAAAAAAAAAAAAAAAAAAAAAAAAAAAAAAAAAAAAAAAAAAAAAAAAAAAAAAAAAAAAAGCCAAGCTGCAGATACGAGAACTGCCAAAAAAACCACACAATAGCGCTGCATTCCCAGGCCATCCTTCAGCAGCAGATCATTTCAAACAACACTGGCACCGATCAGACAGGAATGTTCAACCACCCAAGCAATCAGTAACTTGATAGAATGTGCCCAAAGTATAGTTACTAAAAAGCAGACCAAAAAGATAACAGCCAGTAAACATAAAAGGTTTAAAAATGCAAGCATGCCAGTCAGACACATAGCAGCATAGGCTAAACAGATATACACATGAAAGGAACACAAAGAAATAACCTGTAAAAGGGGAAAAAATAAAATAAAATCCATTGTATCCCCCGTTCTTACCAGCACTGGAGGTGGAAGGCTGCCGGGCAGTGATCACAGCAAAGGAGGTCACCTCCTTCCTTGCAGCTATCACAGCTGTCATGGTTTGTGGCTCTTCCACTTCTCCTGGGTTCTTTTTCTGGTCTCCGGCTTTTCTTCTCTCCGTCTTCACTCTTTGGGGGTGCCAAAAGAGCTTGGATTTGCTATTTAAGAAAAACAAAAAAAAGTGCATGTTAAAGGCCAAGAACATCAGTTATTCTTATACAAAAGGGAGGGGTAAACGAATGAAGACGCTCATCTGAACACATTTTAGGGGTACCAGGAAACATATGACTGCACAAAAAACAAAAAAGTTCAGAAATTATAGATTCTTGAGGTGCACTGACTGACCCTAGGGTTACCAGCAACTACCATTTAACAATCTGGGCCAGTAACAATAATAGCCCCCTTACCACAAGGGCAGATCATCAATGCACAATCCAAAAACCAGGCAGTCTAACCTGGCAACCTGCGTTTAAAAGATATGGAAACGAGTGTTTCATTTAACGAAAAAACTTAAAATCAAAAATGTTTTACCCGCATTAGTCATCCAGCTACTAGGATTTGCATTCTAATTCCATCCCGCATCAGCACAAACATAGTTAACATGTAAAGGATTTGGAGTGAGTGTGCAAGCTTGTGTCAGGACTGAGCTGAGGCCTGTCTTTACTAGATCAGTACACAGGAATAGGAGGGAATAGGAGTACACAATGCTGCCAGCTTCAAGTGAAGAAACGCAATACAATTACCCATACAAAGGCATGATGGCTCTGGAGCCCTGAATAGGAGCAAAAGCACCATTGCCAGTTCCAGAATTCCTGCTCTTTCAGACCACAAGCAAATGTACATCTCTTCTACCACTATGTACAATGACTACACCTATAAGAGACAAGAACTGAACACATGGGTTGGTGAAACCAGCTGACTGCCTCCATTACCGCAGTCAAGAGGCAAGGGTTAAACACCGCAATGCATGTTGAAAGGAACCGTCAGCTCTCTGGTTACACTAAAACAGCAAGGCCGAAGATTAAAGTATACGTAAACCAAATTACAAAAAAACTCATGCGGAAATTTATCAGCACTGGAGCAGACAGAATCTGGAGCAGTTACCCATGGCAACCAATCAGCTTCTCTTTTCAGTTTGCTCATCTAAGCTTGAAAAATTAAAGATAGAAGCTAATCGATTCCCATGGGCAACTGCTCCAGATTCTGTCTGCTCCCGTTTAAATACATTTCCCTCTCAGAATGTTTAAAATAGCAACTTCAAAAACCATTGTCAATATTTGTAAATCTGAAGCTTCCATTAAAATACCTGGCGACCCAGCCATGAGGATCCATGTGCAGGCACGTCCGGTTATGGGGTGCTAAAAAGACTTAGTCTGACTCCAAATTGCTTGTGTTGTCACCCTGCCACATGAGCTCCCCATGGAGATTACTAATGCTCACTGCACAAGCATGTTCCATTGTTATCACCATCAGGAAATTCACCCTGAGAAATAAAGGTGCTGCAGTCCTTGGAGCCAATGCATACGAACACAGGAAGTGACTGCAGGAGATCAGCATTGCAACAAAGGATAACAACGTTAAAACAATATGTTTATGTAAAAAAAATCTGAACAAACAAAGCTTCAGCAAACTAAAGTCTCATTCAGTTAGGGGTTAAACATGCTTAATGGGAAGGCAGAGCAACCAGTGGATAGAGCTGGCCACAGAAAGAAGGCATACAGTAATTGGGCCCCCCAGTGTAGTTTATAAGATAAGGTAGGAGGCAACACAGGAAGAAATACCAGTGCAAACTCGCCTTGGGCCAATCAGCAGTTACACAAAATAAAAGTAACAATCCAAAATTGCCAACAAAGAAATTCCCAAATGAAAACTGGCCAGGGATGTCTGGAGAGACTGCTGTGCACCACATCTGAACAACATCACTTCCTACAGCCGAAACAGACAAGCAACTCATGTGCATAGGCAGGACCATTTAAAAATAAAGTACGAGGATAACGTTCGGGGTCATAAGCTCAAAAGAAAACCAGAAAAAGTAAACATTAGAAAGGTTGTGCAGACTCCTCCACTGATATATTCTTATAATGATTGTGGAATGAAAAAAAGAAGAAGTGTTCAGTGTACACAGGGAACATTCCCGCTCATCAAAGATGGTGTGCAGCAGTGTTTGGGACGTGCAGATTCACAGATCACCGAGATCTGGCTATATATATATATATATATACATATATATATATATATATATATACATATATATATATACACACACACACCTCCTGTAGTCTGTACATTGTGTATAATTGATGGGGCGCAATGGCTCTTCCAGCAGATTGTGAGCTATACACAATCCTCCAGATTAGTGTAGTGTGATAGGTCAGGATGTGTATTGTGCATGTGTACAGTGATCAGCCTATCCACAACCCATACAGCCTGGTGTGTGCAATATGTGTGTATTGTGTGTGTACAGTGATCAGCCTATCCACAACCCATACAGCCTGGTGCGTCTACAGTGTTACAAATCAGTATGTGTGCAGTATAATAGGTCAGGATGTGTTGTGTGTGTCTATACAGTTCAGCCTATCCTTAGCCCATAAGGCTAGATGCGTGTACTGTGTGCATGTGTGTATATAGCATTATGGGTCAGGGTGTACACACTGATCAGTCCATGTGTGTGATTAGTATGGTGTCTATACATTGATCAGTATATCCATAGGCCATATGGCCAGGTGTGTGCATATGCAGTTATGAGTCAGGGTGTATAGTGTACACGCTGATCAGCCTATGTGTGTGTATTTTGTATAGTATGTACACAGTGATCAGCCTATGTGTGTGTATTTTGTGTGGTGTTTGCACAAATTAATCGGCCCATGTGTGTGTATTTTGTGTGGCGTTTGTACACGTTGATCGCCTCATGCGTGTGTATTTTGTGTGGCGTTTGTACACGTTGATCGGCCCATGTGTGTGTATTTTGTGTGGTGTTTGTACACGTTGATGGGCCCATGTGTGTGTATTTTGTGTGGTGTTTGTACACGTTGATGGGCCCATGTGTGTGTATTTTGTGTGGTGTTTGTACACGTTGATGGGCCCATGTGTGTGTATTTTGTGTGGTGTTTGTACACATTGATCGACCCATGTGTATTTTGTGTGGCGGTTGTACACATTGATCGACCCATGTGTGTGTATTTTGTGTTTAGACACATTGATCGGCCCATGTGTGTGTATTTTGTGTTTAGACACATTGATCGGCCCGTGTGTGTGTATTTTGTGTTTAGACACATTGATCGGCCCGTGTGTGTATTTTGTGTTTAGACACATTGATCGGTCCGTGTGTGTATTTTGTGTGGTGTTTGTACACATTGATCGGCCCATGCGTGTGTATTTGGTGTGGTGTTTGTACACATTGATCGGCCCATGTGTGTATTTTTTGTGGTGTTTGTACACATTGATCGGCCCATGTGTGTGTATTTGGTGTGGTGTTTGTACACAGTGATCAGCCCATGCGTGTATATTTTGTATAGTGTGTGTGTACACATTGATCAGCCCATGTGTGTATATTTTGTGTAGTGTGTGTGTGTATACAGTGATCAGCCCGTGTGTATATACAATGATCAACCCATGTGTAGTTTGTATACATTGATCAGGCCATGTGTGTGCGTTTTGTGTGGCGTTTGCACATTGTATCCATAGGCCGTGTTTGCCGCTCGTGCACGGTGCAATGACATCTGACAGTCATTTGTCGCCGCTCACCTCCATGAGGCCCCCAGACGTGTCCAGATCGTATACGATCGTCTTGGTCTCCATGCTGTGTGTAATCTGGAGAAAAGCAGACACAGGATCCCTCCTGTATGGATGAAGAGAGGACAGCGGGCTCTCCGCAGGGTTCACAGAGGCGGACAAGTAACGGGAAGCACGCAGGCCTGCAGCCTTAGGCTCTGTATAGCTGACAGGAAGGTCTCGGCAGTAAGCAGTGCAGAGAGGTGGGGGAGAGGCTCCCCACTCCGGGGATGTGGCGAGGCCTAGCCGACTGGCCGCCGGTTCTTCCTTCGCTCTGCAGAAAACACAGGGGCTCCAGCCATGTCGGGCCTACTTATCCCAGGGGAAAAAAAGAGGGTACGGGCTGTCGGCGGCGGTGACGTCCACCGTTCCGTCCCGGGCTTCACTCCTTCCGCGGCTGCTTACGTGCGTCTCCCCTCCCCCAACAGCGGCCGCGCACTTGGCGCAAAGTGACTGCGCGGGAGACAACACTGTGCGCATGCGTGATACAAAGGAGCAGGAGAAGGCACACAGCCGCTACACCGGAGGGGAGGGGAGAGGCGCTAGACTGGTGACGTCACAGGGGTTCGGGCCTGCGCAGTGGACCAAGTCGCTCGGGAAGCCGCTACAGAGCCTTGGAAACAAGGCAGAGATGCTTACGTCAAACATTTGCGCAGGCGCACTAAGGTGCAGAGCCAGCCCGCACAGGACCAGCCGCTAAGGATCCTGGGTAGATTTTGTATCCCCGATTACGTCCAAAGTTAACGCATGCGTACTTGTCATGGGACGACTTAACACAGACAGGGGTGGGTGTAGGGCCCTGACATGTGGGGAACATGCGCACTGTGAGGGAAGGAGCGAGCAGAGCCGCGGCAGACAAAGGGGAGTGGATAGAGGAGGCCGCGTCACTGTGTGTGCGCTGCATTCCTCTTGTCTGGCTGCGCGGAGTGTTTTGTTTGTATGCGACTTTGCGCATGCTCGGTGGAGTTTAAGGAGCGGCCATCTTTGAGGTGGCGTTCCCCCGCTTGTTATGGCTGCTCCTTTTGTGCTGTGCGAGTTGTATGTGACGCATGCCGTGATTATGGAGCGCGTGTGACAGTGTCCTCAGTGAATAACGTCTGCAGATTTTTCAGCCGAAAACGTCTCGTTCCGGAATCTCAGGAAAAGTTTAACAGGGGGAAAGGCATCCCTGTACGTTTCTGCTGGCTGCTCTCGCCATATTTTCTGCGGCCACGCCCGCGAGATGTGGAATCTTCCCTCACTGCCTTTCTTTGTGGGATGAGAGTGTCGGGGCAAATGAAGCAGAGAGCTCACAAAGAAAAAAAACAACAAAAAAAGCCCTTTAAATTATGAATGTGTACGTTTTACAATGTGCAGGCTATTTGTGGAAGAGATGCTATGGCTCTTCTGCAAGAAAACAAACGTAGTCCTCATTCACACAAGTCGTTTTTCCCTGGGACCAGTGTTCAAAGTTTGTGACTGCGTTAGAATATGTGACCGGTGACTTGGTCACACATTTTAACGTAATCCCGTCCGGTTTTTTGGCAAGATGTGTGACCGGTCACGTGCTCACACATTTTAACGTAAAGTCACGCCCATTTTTCCCGCGGTGGAATATGTGACCGGCAAAAGGTGAAGAATTCCAACGCTTTCTTAACTTTTCCAGGGCAGATCGGCATCGCAGATGGTATGTGCAGGAGAACCGATCTGCCCTGGAACAGCTGATCGGTCCTGAAATGTAACTTTTATCCGACTTTGTGAGTGCGATCTTACATTCCACAAAGTCACATTTCAGGACCGATCAGCTGTTCCAGGGCAGATCGGTTCTCCTTCACATACCATCTGCGATGCCGATCTGCCCTGGAACAGCTAAGAAAGCGTTGGAATTCTTTACCTTTTGCCGGTCACATAGTGGGCGTGATTAAGTTAAAATGTGTGACCAGTCACACATTCCAACCCAGTCACCATCTTTGATAGAACACTGGACTCCGGAAGTATGCATATCTGGAGGATCCTGAAAATGCCTATCACGGTGCACGCTACATATAGGGATAGCTGTGACCTGGGAGTGGCTTCAGGTACACTGAGCACAAGGGGGAATTCATAAAAACTGGAGCAGGCAGAATCTGGAGCTGTTGTCCATGGTAACCAATCAGCTTCTCTTTTCAGTTAAAGTGACATTAAACCCTCAGATTTTTTAACATAAAACAATACTGTAATGTGTGCCTTACTGTAATCCATGGTTGTTTCCCTTCTCTTTGCTGCTCTTACTTTTAAATCTGTATCTTTTCTCATGCTTGGAGAGAACTTCCCTTTTCAGCTCAGGGCCTCTCCATTGTAGTGCTGGCTCAGGTTACAGCCTATAGAAACGTATACACAGACACCGTTTGAGACAAGGCAGTCTGCTGAAAAGTGAAGTTCTCTCCAAGCATGAGAACAGATAGAGATTTAAAAGGAAGAGCAGCAAAGGGAAGGGAAACTACCATGGATTACAGTAAGGCACACATTACAGTATTGTTTTATGTTAAAAAATCTGAGGGTTTAATGTCACTTTAAGCTTTGAAAATGAAACGGAGAAGCTGATTGCTTGCCACAGACAATTGCTACAGATTCTGATTGCTCCAGTTTTTATTAGTTCCTCCTGGGTGTCGTTCACTCAGCACTGACCCATTCAAAGAAAGCCTTGAATTTTTGGATTGGATGAGCTGGAGATCTCGATGTCATCCTCTGCTCCTCATCCAATAAAAGAATACCTGCTATTCACAGATAGTGTTCTCTGTATGGCGCTGGAACCGAGCGAGTGACTACCTGTGCTCAGTGTGCAGAGAGGAAGTTGCACCCGGAAGATCACAGCTGTCACTGTATGTACTGCTGACTACTAGGGTCATTTTCAGGATCCCCAGCGGCCCTCCAGATATCAGTTATATATACTTACACTGAGGCAAGCGGGACCAATGCAAGTATTCAAAAAACTTGCTTCCGCACGAAACATCAGTCTTCAGCTGTTAAGTCCACAGTGTAGATTTGTCTGTGCTGCCAGGCAGTTTTTCCCAGAATGTACAGGTTATTCTTGGCACCCTGGTAGAATGTTGCTAGCAATAGTGTTGAACAGAGGACACAAAGCTTGCTGATGAAAACCAATCTTTGTTCTTTTCCACTCTTGCATTAAACCTACTCCCTGAATGCTGGAAAAGCCAATCCACTAGATTTCATCCATCCCAGAGCGGATGGAGTCAGCAGCCATTAGATTCCGCCAACTAAGGATTTCTTCTTTTTTCGTGGCCTGTTCACACCATATAAAACTGTAGTTGTACGAGTGCTGCAATATGGTTTATTGTGCGTTGCAGCAAGCTACGTCACCCCATCTCACTTACACCAATCAGCCATAACATTTTGACGATTGAGAGTTGAGTTGATTATCTCTATACAATGGCACCTGGAAGTGGGTGGGGTATGTTAGGCAGCAAGTGAACATTTTGTCCCTGAATTTATGTGTTGGAAGCAGAAAAAATGGGCAAGCGATAGGATTTGAGTGACTTTGACAAGGGCCAAACTGTGAAGAGTAGACGACTGGATCAGAGCAACTTCAAAAGTGGAGCTCTTGTGGGATGTTCCCGGTCTGCAGTGGTCAGGACCTACCAAAAGTGGAACAAGGAAGGTGACCCGGCAACAGGGTCATGGGCGACCAAGGCTCATTGATGCACATGGGCCCATTAAATTCGATCCAATAAAAGAGCTACTGTGGCTCAAATTGCTGAAAAATGCTGGTTCTGATAGTAAGGTGTCTGTGCACACATTGTATTGCAGGTTGTTGTGTATGGGGATAAGTAACAGCAGACCGGTCAGGATGCCTATTCTGACCCGTGTCCACTGCTAAAAGCTCCTACAATGGGCACGTGAGCATGAGAACTGGATCATGGAGCAATGGAAGAAGGTGGCCTGGTCTGATAAGATCTCGTTTTCTTTTACATCATGCGGATGGCTGGGTGCTTGTGTGTCAATTACCTGGGGAAGTGATTGCACCAGGATGTACTATGTGAAGAAGGCAATGTGATACTTTGGGTAATGTTCTGCTGGGAAACCTTTGGTCCTGCCATTCAGGTGGATGTAACTTTGACATGTACCGCCTACCTAAACATTGTTGCTGAAGTACACCCCTTCATGGAAACGGTATTCCCTGATGGCAGTGGCCTCTTTCAGCAAGATAAGAGCACCCTGCCACACTGCAGAAATGGTTCAATAATGGTTTGAGGAACACAACAATGAGTTTGATGTGTTGACTTGGGCTACAAATTCTCCAGATCTCAGTCCAATCGAGCATCTGTGGGATGTGCTGGGAAAAAAAAGTCTAATCCATGGAGACACCGCCGCACAATTTACAGGACTTAAAGTATCTACTACTGATGACTTGGTGTCAGATATCACAGCATACCTTCATAGTTCTAGTGGAGTCCATATCTCGACGGGTCAGGACTGTTTTGGTGGCAAAAGGGGGATCTATCAATATTAGGCGGGTGGTTTGGTTTATTTTAACTAGGTTCCAATGCAGGAGAATCACACCCGCTCCGTCGCGCACTGTAGCTGAGGTGCATTCTGTAGCTGCATTGAGGTGCCATTCAAAATGAGGTGACGTATGCTAATGTGTGTTGCGTTTTGGATAGAGAAGGGTAGGATTACAACCTCTGTGATGTTTTAACTCATCCCACTGGGAGAATGACCCACTTTTATATATCCTGTTGACATTTTGTCATCAAGATAGGAAGTGATGGGAAATCCCAACTTTTATAGTTGTCACTAAAACAAGAGATGAGGGAGCATATTCCAACTGGAAGATTTCCACTTTATTTGGAGATATTTTTTTTTCTCTTTTCCTGTTGTCTTCAGGACACGATGTAAAGGTAAATCTCCCTAAGGGGATACAGAAGGCAAAATAAAAATGGGTTATTAACCTTCTTTACTTTATCTGGAAATAAAAGGAAAACTTTTCAATAAAAGTATATTTTTATCATGTTCCTCCACAATCTTGCAGTTGAGGTTTCAAGATCATGCTGCTCAGAAGGGAAATGACGTAAAAGAAGACACCCAATGGCTAATAGTAGTATTGCATGTCATAATTAATAGGTAATAGACAACTGTATAATGCTAGGTTATACATGTAAATTAGATGACAGAGGGGAATAGCCAACCTGGGCAAGTTGTACATTTGAATCGATCTTTAATTCATACAACTTCACAATTATAGACTTCTGCAGTAATATGTTGCTTCACGATAGTGGAATAGATAATGGGTGTTATGTGTGAAAGTGTCAGTAGCTTTAAATTATTGTTCAGTGCAGCTAATCA